GTGTGTGTGTGTGTGTGTGTGTGTGTGTGTGTGTGTGTGTTGTGTGTGTGTGTGTGTATGCACGTATATATGCATATATGTAGGCAATATCAATTGATGCATCTCCTCCGACGAGATCACGCTCCGTGATGAGGGAAAATACCGTAGGCAGGCGCTTTAAGTGTCATCGCTAAAATTACTTAGCGCAGCTCCGAACGGCTTCCTCGCCGATTTCGGCCGCCGTCGTTCGGCCACCCGCCGACCGGCCGTGACGCTTCTCTCTCTCGCCCATCGCGAACCATCACGCGGGGAACTTCAGGAATGTCCGGAGCGTTAAACTTAGGCGTTACCGAATCACGTCTGTCTGCGCGTCGTGGCGTCACGGTCACTGAAATTCCGATCCTGCGCGAGAAAGTGCCGACGGTAATCCTGAGAATTACAGAAATTCGCCCGGGGCGATCCGATCGATCCGATCGGTTGACAGGGAATAATATATTCGTCTAATATCCGCCTTTCTCCCTCGGTGTTGACGACGTTATTTATTAAAATCATCAAATTAAATCATCATTAGCGCGCTTCGTGATATCATGATAGCCGAGTATAACTCGAAGTTATAACTCGAAAGAGATTTTTGAAAATACATAGTAAAAAAAAATAATCTTAAAATAATCTTAAGGATGGAAATTCTTTTTGTGATGAGAAGTAACGGTACTGAATATCTTCATTAATCGATTTTATATCTCTTTTCAATTATCGTTATTTCTTATAGATCAATTTTTTGCGGTTTTATTCAGATGCAGTATACATCACGCAGAATAAGCATGTTATACTTTATGAATTTCGTTCACGAAATATATTAATATTACTTTATATTTTTAAAAATACTAAAACAGACATAAATAGACATTTTGATAGAAAGTCATCGATCATTTTTTTTACAATTGACTAACTTTAAGTTAAGCTTTCTGGAATCTTGATCAATTCTTGGATCTTCACGGGTTATGATTTCAATTTTTTCAACTTTATGATTTGGCAGCACAGCTGAAGGTTTACGGTTTCGGAAACGAAACCTTTTTCCTTTATATTGCATAGAGTTATTATTGGAAAAACAATTTCGAGAATATCCGAGAGCGGAATCAACTTGTCAGACGTAATTTGTTTTCCACGATCGCCGGAAAATAAGAACAGTGCAACATCACGTGACAAGATCGATAGATGTGTTGACCACTTTTAATATAATCAGGCAATAGTGAAGTAAACTAAAAAATCTACATACATAATTTTATTTATCCGAAAGTAAGTTTGACGAAAAAGAAATTTGTACAAAAAGAAAAAATAAATAAGAAATATTCACAAGTGGGGCAGGGGGGGGAGGGGGGAGAGGGACATTTACCGATGACAGTTTTTTTATTCATGACTATCATCGAACCGACAGCTTCCGGCTATTCGCGACGACCTTCGGGCCATTCACCTTGCTCTGCATTGTTCGTCGCGAGATCAACTCAAACCTGGTTCGTTCGTGTCATTATATGCGCGTGCACCACAGCGTGCGTCGACGAGTCTTTCCTCGGCCGAATCGTGAATCATTTTCGCACGTCACGCGACGGTCCCCCTTTGCCCGGCATCTTTGTCAAGCATGTTTCAATACACCGCACGCATCACGCGATATGAAACAATATTACATACACGACTCAAGTAGAAAAAAAAAAACATCTCTTTTAGAAATTTAAATGCAAAAGCTAAAAAATGCATCGATAATAAAATTTTGAATTATAATTATAAATCCGTAAAAAAAAAATCAATATTTTTTTATGAATTCGAGACACAAATAAATATTTTGTGCACGGACGATTTTTTTAAATAAATTTCAACTGGAGAATCATTTCGGACGGATGTTAAGAACGCGACGGGAAAAAATTGAATCTAATGAAATTCCTTCTGGAGAGGGATCTATCCCGATAATTGTACCCTGTGTAGAACATTACAAGGAAAGCACTTATTTTGCAGCACGTGGTGTACGTCGACGTTCACTAATATTCGTTGCTATCATGATTGGAGTGGAAAAAGGGAAAAAAAATCTCATTTATTCGCAGCACAATTACGCAGAAGCACACTATTTATCTGCGTTTCAACAGAATTTCCTCCTTCGAGATATGGAGGAGCAAGAACCGAGTGCGCGCGACGTCGCGCTTTTTTTTTCTTTTTTACAAAGCCGACGGCTGTTGGCATGCACACGCGTCTTCCGTCTTTTGCGATGTGCGGTTGCTCGCTCGCGGCCGCACATGTGTGCACACGTGCGACGGAGACGGAGACGACACACGAACCGCACACGTATGCCGGACACGTACGACACGGGCGAGCGAGCGGG